AGCTATTGATAATAAAATAGTACATTTTTGTTTTTCGTTGTTTAACCTTCGCATACGTATAATATGGACACTACATATAAAATACATGTACAAGGGTTTCTACAATAAAATTTAGTAACACAATGCAAGACTATGATTTCAGTTTCTCGGTTTTAATGATTATATCGGTTGTGAATAAAAATTGGAAATATATATAGATAGGCACGTACTGCTAAATTCTATTGAAATAAGTAATTGGAATATGTAATGCGCTTAGTACATATAGGCAGGTGTGCTGTATGCTTAATACTAATTCACTTTAGAAACTCATAATAAAGTTTTGTTTTGAACTAAATTTTTAATTACGCAGTACCTACGTATATGGAAATCACACGGTTATGAAAAGGAAATCTTACGGCAACTTGATCAATCTATATATTTAGAAAGTGAAGAGGCTGTTTCTCTAGTATTCGATATATTGCTTGCCTATAAACATTAACATAAGCTTGTTATTGTCTATTAAATTTTTTGCAGTTTCATGCAACTGCCATGCAACTACTTTAAAGTAATACCTACGATATTATAGGTCCGTTTATTTACGATGAATGTCTATGAAATATGACAATGCTTAAACCTATGAAATAAACTCTATATGAGCAAAATATAGTCCAAAATTTATGACGACGTAGGTAAAAATACTTTCCGACAAAAATATCTTTATACCCCTACGAACGTATGTTCGCTAAAAGTCGTTGAAATTGCTTAGCTCCTTCTGGTAGCTGTCGTACAACTTCAAAAGTTATTTGGCACACACAATTTTTTGAAAAACACAGTACTGAAATTTTGCATAAATTAATATTGTAATACGGCAACTTAAAGTCATAGTCTGTCCCATAGTCAGCTATGGCATATTTATTCGCACATGGGACAACAAATTCATACGGGTATCACAGACTTGACATGGTCAACTCTAATTTTTCTGTTTTTTTTTTTTTTATAAATTTTAATTTTTTTTTATTATTCTTACTTATTTCAATTTTTTTTAAAGCCGATAAATTACAATTAAAAAATATATTTTACAAAATGTAAATTGTAAAGATATTTTTGTGATTTAATATGCTGGAAACATATTTATGTACTTGCTAATAGGCTATTATCGAACCCAAGTATATAATAACGTATTGTTAATTTTCTCTATATTTCAATAGCAAATTGTTGAATAAATTACACAATCTCTTTTTTTTTTACAACTATACAAGGCTGGTGTAAGTAGAATGTAGAACTGTTGCATAATTTATTAATGTGTTTATTATGCAGTTTTATTGATGGATTAATTATAGTTGATAATTTTTTAAATTTTTTAAAAATTGCTTTAATCAGATCATATAAAATAACTGAGGGTTTCAATTTTAAATTACTAAAAATGTACATTTTAATTTAATTTTTGTAAATGTTATAAAAAACAAAAAAGAAAAAAATTTGCAACATTTATTATAATTATAAAAAATTTATATAAAAAAAAAATGAAATTCATGAAGTGTTGTTAACAAAGTAAAAATTGAGAGATAAAAAAATTTAATTTTAAAGTATTTAGTGGATTTAATCAAATTAAATTATTACATAACACAATCATTTAAATTTAATTAAATATATGAAGTGTATATATTGTTATTTTTACATTATTTACGCTTTTTTCGTTTTTAAATTAAAAATATTAATGTACACAAAGTTACTAACTATTTAGTTAAATCACTCAAAAAATAATTAAAATATGTTATAAATGAAATTTTATTTTGCATATTGATTACTATACAGTTCACATTTCAAGGATAAAGTGAAGAGTGATTAAAATATAATTATCTCGTAATACTATATATATCTGTATATGTATATATACCGTTTCTAAGTTGGAAATTTAAACACCAGCAGTTGTATCAAATTGGATGCCTGGTCACAGTTCTGCCCGAAGCCCTTGGCGGTTAGGTTTCCAGTTCTTTCTAGTATTCACTCCAGTTTGCCAGTCTAGACTGTCTAGAGGGTTTCTGAAGAAAGACTTCTACTATAACAATTCACAAAGATGATACTACAACAATTCACAAAGAAACCGGATGATTACATGGTCCGACATAGATATCCAGTACCTCCTCTCTAATCCTAGTTTTAAAAGTTGAAATGTCCCAATACAAATTAAATATTTATAGGTTTTCTTTAATTAAAAATTCTAATAAGGACTCTTGTGTTGGTGTTGATATTTCCCCATGCCTCTTTATGTGCATTTATATTATTTCCGATGACGAGTGACGTCTTCTTTTTATTGCATTGCTTTATCAATTTCTGTATTTTCGGCAGTTGTCGAATGCTCCAGTTCTGGGAAGTACTCTGATGCGACTGCTATCTCCGTGATCTGTCCTCTATATACCCAGGCCCCTTGTGTAATAGCTGTGCCCAAATAGAAGAAGAACAAAGTTAATATTTTTTCTTATTAGAATGCTGGCTCGGGATAGGTCTGTTGACATCTCCTTGATCTGCCCTCTGTATACCCAGGGACCCTGCGTAATGACTAATGACTCAAATATAGCTTAATGGATATCCTTGCCAAAACAGCCAGAGCTGCTTTGGCATAGTGGATTTTCACCTGGGTGACTCTGGCTTCTTCGTCCCTTTTTTCTTCAACCGCTTGGCAGGATGATGTTGATAGAGCCTCTTCCTTTGTTCGGGAAGTTTCCTGACCTCGTCAGACCTGGCACCCGCCCCGCTGAGTCTTGGGATTACCCAAGCCCTCAGGTTGACCAGCTTCGGAAAGTATAAATAAGAAAAATAAAAGTACCCAACTGATTGTGGCAAAGACTGAAGAAAAAATCTGAAATGAGAAAAAATTTATTTATAATTGGAACGTATTTAAATGAGTACACTCCTGAGTGACGTTCTTCAAAATGCTCCACCAAAATGAGCCGATATTTTTAAAGATGTTGTCAGTACGTTGTATCCACACATTTGTATCGATTATTTTTTAGTTTCTGCTCCATTAACATTTTTTAAGAGAATGAAATTCATATTGTGAAAGTAGAATGTCAACCAAGTTCTACAAATACTTTTAGTTAAACTTTCTTCATATTTTAACAAAAGCTTAAAATTTTCTAAAGCAAATACATAAAACAAAGTTGTTGCAACAATTGTATTTTATTGACAAATTTTCAAATTTAAAATCACTTAGTAAATATATTACACTTAAAAATACTTATTACAATAATAAAATATTTCAATCACTTGAAATTCAAAAATTATTTTTTCTAATTGTTCCACTTCATAATTACATTATATTATTACTGTAATTATCTACTATTATTTGTTTAATTATATTATTATTTACTTAATCTACTTGTCTATATCAATTGTTTTAAGTTCTTGCAAACCTAAATAGTATTCAAATGTCGTAGGCACTTCTGTTAAAATAATGAATAATCTAAATGTATTCATTACAATGAAATTAAACATAGCAGACAAATGAAAATTTTGAAGATCGTGTATGTCACATAATACGACCTATTATATTCTTTATGTATGATTGTGCAAAATATATTATTAGCCGTTAAATCAGGGCTTAAGCATTAAAAATTTTTTTGTATATTATTGATTTCATTAAAATTTAACAAAAGTTTGATATGATGTCGAAATCCATGGATTGTGTTTGATGAAAAAATTAATACGCCATACAATCGTCATCGAACAAAATGTTTGAAGAATGTTCGATGTCAAAACGTTGGTACCCAAATAGTCTTAAAACAAATTGAAAAATGTTTTAGAAGAATAATTTGTCCAATTTGAAATCAGTAAAGTTCAAATGACGTGAAATACTTAAAATCCGAATCGAACCAGTCAATAACGTAAAACATTAAGTTACCAGCAAATCGAACATTGAATTTAGCTACTCTTGAATTTAGCTAATCGTTTTTTTTTTATATTTTTACAAATTTAATATTTAGACCGAACTAATACAAGTAGTCTTAACGAACATTTATTACAAAATTCGAGATCATAATTACAGCTAAAAATATGTCTATTGCAATATGTAAATTGTATGAAGACTGTCATTATTCTGTTATTATTATTTACAGCAGACAAAATAATTTATTTTAAATGTAATTAACAGGAGTGATGTAATCTTAATTAAAAAAGTGATTGAATGTAATCGTTTAGAGATCTTACGTGTGTCGAAATTGAACAACTAAATAATGACTACAACGTACAAATAAATTAATAACTATTAAGTGTAATACAAAGTCTCTTAATGAGGTACTCGTACTGCTTAACAACAAGTATGTCAATTATGAGTTATAAATTTCTACCATCTGTATAGTAGTATGAATTTTACAAATTAACTATTACTGTATGAATCGAATATAATTTAATTATTATTACCTTATCTGTATTTTAAAATATGAAAACAATATTAATTATTGTGTAAAGGTCCATTCAATAACTTGAACAATTCAGTGACTTCAATAAAAAAATTACTGTTTTTCTTTATTGTGAATAAAATTTTTTGTTTCAATGTAAAAACAATGATAATTTTTGCTAGACCATCTAAGTAAACACTTAACATTCAGGTTCGATACAATTTAAATAACATTAATTTTAAGTGAATGTGAATTGGGCTGACTATAGGGTATTAAATTTTTTATAAATAAAAATATTAAAAAAATTTACACATTTAGTAATTTTATAAACACTTCCTGGCACCGTTCGATAAAATTAAATTTTTTAAAATATTTTCAGAACTGAAACCACTTATTATTATAAGTGTTAGTTCTACGTTAGTTACAAACGGAACAATTCATTTGTTATATTACTTTCTGAATTATTTCATATGAACTTTTAATTGAAAAGCTTGATTTATAGAATCTTATCTATGGGAGCTTCAAAAAAAAAAAAACTTTTAAAACACTTATTTTGAATATCTTCTTCATTGCTTATCACAGCGCCCCTCAACATAGATAACATTAAATCAAATTTATCATATTAAAAAAAAAAAAAATTAACCTCTCTTGAGTTTTGTAAAATTATTATAAATTAAAATTTGAAAGTCTTGTTTACTCATTCTCTATCCTGAATTGTAACTTCTTTCACATTTCGTTAGAAGCAAATATGAAATCTACAATTTTCATTTTGTTTGGCGTCTGCATATTCCAAATATGCAGTACTGCGGCGATCAGTGAAGAAGTTTTTAATGTTCAGTGGGAGAACTATAAAAACGAATTCAATAAAGTGTACCCATCTATAGAAGAAGAACAATTTCGTAAAGAGATATTCAAAGTGAATTTAGAAAAAATTAATATTCACAATGAAAAATATCGTAATGGAGAAGTCACTTTCGAAATGGGATTAAATCAGTTTACTGATTTAACTGCTAGTGAAATGAAAGAAAGATTAGGATTTAAGAACGCACCTACAATGATCAGTGAAAATGATTTCGATGCTGAATGGAACTACTTTAAAAATAAATATCACAGAATGTATTCATCAACGGCAGAAGCACAATTTCGCAAAGAAATCTTTAAAAAGAACTTGGAAAAAATAAATAACCATAATGAAAAATTCCGCAATGGAGAAGTCACTTACTCAATGGAAATAAACGAATTTGCTGATCTCACTACTGAAGAATTCAAAGAAAGGCTCGGATTCAAAGGTGCATCAGCTATAGTTAATAAAGAAGACTTCGATGCTGAATGGAACTACTTCAAAAATAAATACCACAGAATGTATTCATCAACGAAAGAAGAACAATTTCGCAAAGAGATCTTTAGAAAGAACTTGGAAAAAATAAATAACCATAATGAAAAATTCCGCAATGGAGAAGTCACTTACGCAATGGAAATAAACGAATTCGCTGATCTCACTACTGAAGAATTCAAGAAAAGATTCGGATTCAAAGGTGCATCAGTTATAGTCAGTGAAGAAACACTCAATACTGAATGGAACAATTTCAAAAGGGAATTCCACAGAATGTATTCATCAACCAAAGAAGAACAGTTGCGAAAAGAAATTTTCAGGTTGAATTTAGAAAAAATAAATAATCACAATGAAAAATACAGCAAAGGGGAGGTTACCTACGAAATGGGTGTGAATCAATTTGCTGATTTAACTACCGAAGAAATAAAGAAGAGATTAGGATTTAAAACTGGTCCAGATACATTGGGTGAAGAAGTTTTTAATGTACAATGGGAAAATTTTAAAAATGAATATAACAAAATGTACTCATCAACAACAGAAGAAGGGCTTCGCAAAGAAATTTTTAGAGTGAATTTGGAAAAAATTAATAATCACAATAAAAAATATCAGAATAAAGAAGTTACTTTTGAAATGGGAATTAATCAATTCACTGATTTAACTACTGAAGAATTCAAAAAACAATCCGGTGGAATTATTTCAAATAATCGTGCAGGTATTAGAATGGCATCGTTTGCAACAAATATAACAGAAAAAAGTGCTGTACCTGATGAAGTTGACTGGTATTATCATGGATTTCAAACAGAAGTAATTAATCAAGCACAGTGTGGTAGTTGTTATGCTCAAGCAGTTACTGGTGCAATTGAAAGTCATTGGTTTATTAAACATGGAGAATTTATAAGATTATCACAACAAGAAATTGTTGATTGTTCTTATACATATGGTAATATGGGTTGTATGTATGGTGATTTAAAAAATACATTTACATATATTATGGCAAATGGTATTGGAACATATGATAAAAATCCATATCAAGGTCAACCATCTGATTGTAGACAATATGAACCACGCTATAATATATCTGGTTTTGTTCAAACAAAAGAAGAAGATGAAGAAGATTTAAAACGTGCTGTTGCAAAAGGACCTGTAATTGCTGTTATTAATACCGGTTTAGTAACATTCCAATATTATAAAGGTGGTGTTTATTATGATGAAAATTGTGTAATTGATCCATATAGTGTTAATCATTTCGTTCTTATCCTTGGATACGGTACAAATAAAGATGGTGATGATTATTGGCTTATTAAAAACTCATGGGGACCAAATTGGGGTTTAGCCGGTTATATGTATATGGCTAGAAATCGTGGTAATCAATGTGGTATTGCAACTGAAGCCATGTATCCAGTCTTATAAGTAAGTTTTTCTTAATATTGTTATTTTTATTTTATAAAGTAAAATAACATTTTAATAAAGATGGGTTAACATTTTATAAAAAAATGATTTTTAATTTTTTTCGCATAACCTCTACTATGACGTTTATTTGTGAGTGAAGACTAAGAATATTTTTATAAAAGTTGTGATTCATTGCAGCTGTATTTTCTAAAATCTTATACAAAGTAAAACAAATTTGTAAATTTTCTAAACCTACCGTAATTTATCTTAATTAATAACACCTTTAATTTATTTAGAACACAATTAACAGTTATCTGTGTATATATAACTTAATAATAGCCTATTCATTTTAAATTTTATTATGCAATTTATTTATTACTCTATTTTTAGAATGAATTAATTATTATACCTACTCAAATTCCAGTATTTCTTGATAATTCAAAATTTATTTGAATAAAATATAACAGATAAATAATTTGTTTATATACAATATAATTTATTTCAGTAATAATTACGAACACAAACATTGCATATACAATTATTACATTAATTTATGGAAACAATACCTCCTTCTATACTCTATATTTTATGCGTATTCTTTAAAAAAAAAAAAAATATTAGCTTTCGCACACAAGATTACGTTTTATAATCATATTGAATTATATATATATATAACAGTTATATACAATATTATATAACACATAGAATGTATAAAACTGTTAAATAAATAACTATATTTTATAAGTTAACAATATAACATATTTCACATTAATATGCTCATAATAATATGTGTTATACGATATTATATACATTCTTGTATATGTATACATATATTCATAATATATATGTACATATATACGCGTAGATTAAAACAGAAAATCTCTTTCATTTTGAAATATTGGATTTAATTAATTCGACTTATCTTCAATAATAAATGTAAGTATGTAATGACTTTTAACGCCGAATGAAATAAATCTTAATATATTATATCCAGCTTTTTCTCACACTTATTTGTTCTACTTGTGCATATACATATTTTTATAATGTAAGTACTTGAAATAATAAAATCAATGAAATTTTTGTGCAAATATTTAAAAATTAATTATTCGTTTATAATTTTAATTGCATAATAAATTTATGTTGGTATAAAAGGCGAATTGCTGCTATAAATATGCGAATTCGCTTTTATACGCTTGAAGCGTATATAGACTATGTTCCGGTCTTGAAATAACATAAGGAAATTTGTGTTAAAACAAAATGGCCGTCTAACCGTCATTTTGAATCTTACTTTCTGTTTTGAATTTAGTTTTGAATTTGTTCTTAAAGCCATAAAGAGATGGAGCTCGATACTCGATAGCCAGCGACTCTCCAAATTTAAATTTTTGGTAATTTACTTCTTGGAAACTATAATCTGCATCAAATGGAAAAAAGTAACAGTTCATATATTCCTGTCAGGAAATCATGATGATGTAGGCATTAAAATTTAATTATCATTCTCCCTTTTAATTTTCAATCCCCTAAAGTTATGCAATAAGAAATAGTAATATGCAAATTAATTTATTTGATACGATTTTATTAAAATAGTAACGATTTATTGAAATTTATTTATATATTATACAATATAATGCATTGATATACTATATTTACTGCATTAGTAGTAAATAATATACTACACTACTACATGTTTATCACATGCGTGCGGCTTTGTTTAAAATCACACCTCTATGTACTTTTCTTTTGCATAAAATTAATTAATATTTATGACTTATTAATTAATGTGTCGTAAAGTAGATTTTTTTATTTTCCACCTACGCAGATGTACATAGTTACATACATACATGTCATTAAATAATAATGTATATATAAACCCTTCATTAAAATCGCTTAGCCGTAATCTTTGAAAGTTTTAGTTTATACACCACTTTCCCTTTAACAAAAACAAAATTTGTTTTTTTTTTTTTTACTTAATAATCAATTTTTAATTGAAATCCTTAAGGCACCTCATAGTGAAAATGATGTAGGTAAACTTTAACTTTCATTATTATCTTAAATCCTTTACCACAATATTTTTTTATATGTATGTATGTGTGTATGTATGGTAGATGAAAAATTATATTGTCGTACTTGTTTGCTTTTTTTCTTATTTATTTATTTTTATTATTTTTTTTTTTTTTGTTATTTTATAATAATCTATAAGTGAAACGTAACAAATTTTCTATATAGCTATGTATTTTTGTTATCAGGTCGTGATGAGGTCGTCATTTATATTAAAAATATTTATCAGGCTTTAAAAGCTTTAATGAGAATTTTTTTTTTTTTTAAGTAATCTGGTTTAATATTGCAACAAACATTATGTAACCTGAATATAGGTATTTAGGATATACGTATATCCTTATATTTGTAAGTGTATTTAACGAAAATACTCTTAAAAACGCAACTATACGTAAATTATATATTTAAGTATATCGGCAGTTGATATGAATAAAAATTGTTAATTTATACGGAAATTTAAAATAGGATGTAAAATGATTTTCAGAGGAAAATTAAATAAGGAAAATTCACATAAGTAATCGGTTTTTTGCCATTTTTTTAGAAATAATTTTGGAGTTATGAAATTCAACTAGTGAAGCCCTCTTTTTCAAGCTATGCTGGATATACATTATGAATAATCCTGCTCACAGGAAATGAAACGATTAACAGACACACAGGATGTGAAACATAATTTTATCAGGACGTGTCAAATAACATGACTACAGTTAACCCGGTGAACAGGTTTTTAAAGAAGTGTTGCTCAAAATAGTTTTATCATCAGTTCGGCAGTGATGTTGTCTCAACGCTTTCCACGTCACCAAATTCCATTATATTCCACGTTTCGTCAGGTTTAACCTAGTTTTGAGATTTTCAAAGCATTTCCGTGTAAATTACAATAATTTTTTACATCCAAAAATCATAATGAACACCCTCACAGTTAAATATCGACCAAATTATTGTAATTTGCACGACCACATTATTGTAATTTACATGGAACTTTCGTGACTCGGAGATTCTTCGGAATCACTCGAATGCGGTCATTGAATCGAGGGCATCCTGGCCCAATAGTGATGACTGGCAACGATTCCGCTTAGTCTTCACGATGGGCAGGATTAGATGGGCGGTTTTCTCTTTTAGGCCCTTCAAATCTCCATGTGATGACGGGATATATCCTGCGTTTTTGCAGAGGATTTTTCAACATATAGCTAGAACACTGTTGGAAATTACAATAATTTTGTCGTTTTTTAACTTTGAGGGTATTCATTACGATTTTTTGGATGTAAAAAAAGGGAGCAACAACATCTCACTCACCAATTAACCCCATAATACTAACCTATGCAATATAAGGGTCTAAAATAAATCTAAAACTTTTTAAATACTCTAATTTTTTTATACATTATATACATACATATATTTTATACACGTATATTAATGTAAATAATATCCATTATTCAGAAAACACCGTTATTATTAGTTATAACATTCATTCGTACTAAAATATTTTATATTTGTACATAATGTATGTTAAAATTAACCTGGAAATTAATTAGAACTAATGTCAACCTCATCATGTCATATTTTTACTAATGATGGTGACCCCATATGTTCTTTACCAAAAACAATTTGTCATTACTATTTTAGAAGTTCATTCATTCTTTCATTCATTTTATAAAATTTCATACATATACATAATTACATATAATTTGTATGTATGTATATATGTATTAATGTATGAAATTCCTTTTCATCAGTTTTTATTCAAAAGAAGATGAAGAAAATATTTTTATTCACACATTATCTATACAATATAATAATAATCATACAAATATAAATATAATTTTATTTTTTATGCTTATTACGAATCATAAATGTATGTATGTATGTGTTTGTATAGGTATTAGCGGAGGAAAATAAGCGAATATAGAAAAATGAAAAAAAAATCAAAAAGCAAAAAAAAATCATTGTAATTATTTCTCATTAAATTGTTATATAAAATTACTTATATATTTGTATATGTATTTATGTATTATAAGTAAAATTTCAGTTGAGTAAGAATAGAGATGAATATTATATAACATGGTTACCAGTACTATATGTATGTATATATGTATTCCTTATATATACATATTAACAGCTTTATACCATTATTGTAAAGTCAGCAACTTATCTATATATATTAAAAATGTTGATATGTACGTCACATTTGATAATGAACACACGCGTAATATGTGATTTGTATAAATCCTTACAATATGTATATATGTAATTATTAGGAAAAAAATTTCGTTATATATGTACGCATTTTCTAATAAATCATATAAGTTAATCTCTAACATGGTTTATATTATATTTGTATAAGTAAGCATTCATTCAATGACATCATTAATATGTGAATTTAGTAAGTATTTAAAGATGTTTTCATACGATTATAAATATTAATTTATGTACTTTAATATTACATAATATATACATATTTACCCATAATATTCAAATTTTTTAGAATCCCAGTCGGAATTTTTTATTCATAACATTTAAAATTTTGCCAATCATTTTCATATAATTTTTCTAGCTAAGATTTTGAAAATTGCATACTTTTAGGGGTATGTAATTTTAATATCGTCCAAGGAATTGGAAAATTTCGAAAGTATTGATTATTTACAATGGGAAATTATGATGGAATGTAGAGAATTATCTGATGTTGCAATAAGACTTCACTTTTTGCCTGACAAACTATAATTTTTAGTTTTTGAAAACGTTGAAATATCAGATATAACCCAACCCGCAATGCTTTGCAGTTTCCATGTTCTTTCTTCTGCAATTTCCTTCAGAAAATTCTTTTAAAATTGGATCATTACGCATATCACGTCACATAAGTGAAAAATTTAACTGCATTGCCAATGTTATTTACCCGCTGGTGTTAATTTTCGTTGCGGCAAATTTCTACTAAAAATCTTGACTGGGTTGTTATTGTTCTGTTGTTTTTTTTTTACTATATAAAATTTAATATTTTAAAAAATATTTGTGTATAAGCTAAAAAAAATCCTTAAAATACGTAAATGAAATAAAGT